CAAAATCACACACATTATATAAATTAGACTGGAAATTACCATCATCCTTTAACACCACCTCCCACTAACTAAAAACAAGTATAATGAGCAAATTTAATATGCAGTATGCCTTTGAAATACCACAGTTCTGGGTCAGAAGAAAGCATAACTCAAGCACAAAATAAGGAAAACAAATGTTTGATTAACACAGGATAACATGAAATTAGCATAGGATATACTTTATTTTAATGTTATACCTTATTGGAGTTATTTTTTAAAAAATATTTTTTTATTGATTTCATAGAGGAAGGGACAGGGGGAGAGAGAGAGAGTTAGAAACATCAATGATGAGAATCATTGCTCGGCTGCCTCCTGCATGCCCCCTACTGGGGATTGAGCTGGTAATCCGGAATTGAACCTCGGACCCTTTAGTCCCCAGGCTGATGCTCTATACACTGAGCCAAACCAGCTAGGACTACTTTTGTGTTTAGAATTGATTCTTTACTAAACACAAACATTACATTACTAAAATACAATAAAAATTTATGTAATCTTGGTGAGTAAAGGGTCCTTATAAACATGATACCAAAAACAGAAAATATAAAATAAAAGCTTGGTAGATGTGTTTACATAAAAACTTTAAACCTGTGACTTTCAAAATAAAAATAAAATATTATAATATACTTAGACAAAATGTTGTAAATTAAAAAGTTGACAATAAACTAGGTGAAAAAGGTGAAGGGGAATAAGATGTACAAACTTCCAGTTATAAAATAAGCCAGCCAAAGAGATCTAGTGTACAGTTCAGGGAATATAGTCAACAAAAACAAAAAATAAAAATTAGGACAAAGACTTGTAATGTATATTATAAAGAGTTGGTTATAATATATAAAGAACACTTATAAATCAATAGAAAAAGTCCCCCAAACATTCCAAAGGCAATTAGGCAAAGCACGTGAACAGTCACTTCATAAAATAAATACAAATAAACAAAAAACACATTTTCTTATTTTTTAAAAGACCAACCTTGTTAGTAATCAGGGAAATACAAATTAAAAGACATCAGTTTGCTCCCTTCTGATTGCACCCCCCACATGGTTATTAGGAGTGTAAATTAACCTTTGCGGTGGATAATCAAGAATATGTATCAAAAGCCTTAAAGGGCCATGAATAAAGCTTATTTTAAATTGATCCCTTACTTCCAAATTTATGTTCCAAAATCTTCCTCTAGTTATATAATTTTCTCCTCAATACTTTGAACCATTTTTTGATAATGTTGTATTTATTTCAGTCATGCAACTATTTTATCATCATAATTAGAAAATAATGTCAATATTCAGGAGGGTTTTCCAATATCTCTCTCAGAAAACTTTCAGGGGAGAGGGACTGCCTATAACACAAATGTAATATTCACAACACAGAGAATCTAAAAAATGAAGTTACATGAAAGGATTTACAAACTAAACTACCTTATAAACATATAAGGTAGCCTGTTTTTTTCTAGAAAAAGGTGGGATAATAAATAAAACCACACGTACTGAAGTATTTACATTATGTGAACGAATAATGTAATTAATAATTCAATAAATTTAAAATGACTGCCTAATATGAAAAGAGAAATGCAGAGAAAGAGATGGGATAAATCTGAAAACACAACTTACCCTCTTAATAGACTCATTTTCCAAGGAGCGTGAATTATATTTAGAAGTTGGTGCAGAAGCCATACTGGAACTCTACCAAGAAAGACAACATTCAATATCAACGGAATTGTATGCAATTTCAGACATATGTAACAAATGTTGGGGGTCCATCTGGGTCATGGCTGTATCCTGCTATTTAAATATTGTAATTGAGAACCAACAGTACTACACTTTACAGTCCCTATTTCCATTGTAGTCTCCAGTGGGAATGACACACACAAAGGACTAAGCACAGCACCAGTCAAGGACAGAGCTCTGGGAAAGGTGCAGGGCACTATGGAAGAACAGGAAAGGGCAGCTAGCTATGTATGCATGTGGGAGCCCAGAGGAAGATAGCACACATATTCCTGGATTTTTTTATTCATTGCACTCAAATAGTCATCTAAAAGAATTTAATGTTTAGCAACTGTGCAGCAAGCCTCAAATTTCCACATTTCTTAATTTTTAAAGATTACTTAGAGACAGCAGAGCAATAAAAAGGGTAGACAATTGAACTCACAGTATTTTCCCCTTTAAGAATTCTATTTTTATCTTAGCTGGTTGCTCAGTGGTTAGAGTATTGGCCCAAGGATTATAGGGTTGTGGGTTAGATTTTGGTCAAGGGCATGTACCTTGGTTGCAGGTTCAATCCCCAGCATCGGTTGGGGCCAAGTGCGGGAGGCAACCAATGGATGTGTTTCTCTCACATCAATGTTTTTTTTTCTCTGTCTCTCCCCATCCTTCCACTCTCTTTAAAAATCAATGGGAAAAAATATCCTCAGGCGAGGATTAACAACAACAACAAAAGAATTCTATTTTCTTCAAATTAAGGCAATTTAAAGTGGCATGAATTTGATAGAAATCAAATTAGTAAGATTTGATTTAATCAGTATTTTCTAAGGAAAGCATATACTTACTTTAAATAATGCATATTCATCACAAGTCAGACATAAATGAACGCATCATGTCAGAACATATACAACATTATAATGCAAGATTTACACTTGTGAAGATTATAACAACAGGAATCTAAGTAATGTTTCAGTTATTTTATTAATCAAAGTTAGTGACAGAGAAGTACACTGAAGCTACAGGGAGGTACACAGCATGCAGTTCAACAAAGTGACTGTTATTTGTGGGATCTTTTCCCTAGGCTCATTAAATGAGTAACTACTTGCTAACAAAATGCAGCATGGAGAATATCAACACACCTTCGCACAAAAACTAGTGATCTGATAGCTTTTCAGTGCCAATCACTGTCATTAAGTAAGGCCCAAGAGAGATGACAAGATGCAGATAAGCATAACCATGGGAATGAAGAGGCAGAGAAATGGTCAGGTGAGGACAATCTTATAAGATTAGGACTATCAGCCCCCCATCCTCAGAATTGAGCTCTCTAAGGCAAGGCTGGGGATCCATCTGGGTCATGGATATATCCTGGCACACAGTTGACATAACTATTTAGTGAATGTGCAAAACACACAATAATTGTGAAACATCATGATGGGGTTAGATGGTATATTGGTTCACCAAATCCCTGAACACTGAAACTAGGGAACTACTGCTGAGACATAAAAATGAACAATTAGGGCAAAGTACAACACTTCCTTATAAAAAGGGATACTAAACTTCAAAAACCTAAAACTCATACTAAGATGTGGCACAACCTAAAATTAGAAATAACTTTTTTAAAAGATTAATGAATAATAACCCTAAAATGAATTAAATTCTGACAGAATATCCTTGAAAAGCTTCTCTAACCTTAAATTCAAATCCCAGCAAAATAACCCTTTATTCTGAGATAGGAGAATGGATGAGATGGACTAGATAGAGCAAGTCAGATATTTTTGCCCTAAAATTATTCTATTGACTAAATAAGATTATATATTTAGGGAATTTCCTTCAGTAACAGATACAAAATTACTTTTTAGTAATCAAATACTATAATATTTAAATCATTTAAAAAGTCAATGTTTTCAAACAAAAGTTAAATTATTACTATCAAGTCAACAGAAGAAATTAAAAATGTTGGGTTATGTAGTCAATTCAGTCTTTACCTTCCTGTTCCTGTTTATAAACCATAAAAGATTAATCTTCCTATTTTCAATACTCATTTAAATTTTTCAACTTAAAATGAACTAAATATAACAGAGGAAAGTCCACATTTCCCCCTTATTTTTAACTACCTTATTGACACATAACTCAAATATTGTACAACTCACCCTGTTCAAGTGTACAATTTAATGGCTTTTAGTATATCCACAGAGTTATGCAACTATAACCGCAGTAAACCTTAGAACATTGTCATCACCCCAAAGGAGAAATCCTGTACCATTATTAGTCACTCATCACTCCCTATTCTCCCAGCCCCGAAGCTATCACGAATTTGCTCTCTCTACAGATTTGCCCATCCTGGAAATTTTATATAAATGAATTCATATAATATGCAGTCTTTATGTCTAAAGCGCTCATTTTAGAGTTATATTAACTGCTACTAAAAGTTAGACCAAGTACAAATGTGAGAAATCCAAGGGCCCAGGTAAGTGGGTCAGTTTTGAGACGAGGTTCACTGTAAAAGCTCATCAGTGAACCTCTTTTTGTTGAATGGTTCCAATTATTCCTGAAATACACAGAAGCTGGAACAGTATGATGCTGGGAAGCATACATGTTGGAGCTGACTCAATTCAAATTCTGACTCTGCATCTCAGTATTTGACCTTGGGAAGGCTATTTAACTTCTCTAGCCTTAGGTTTTAGAACAGTGCCCGGTATATTTGTTAAACAAATTATTATCATTTTTTTTTCAATTATGAAAGGGTAATTATTGAATACTGACACCATAATCTATTCTACAAATTAGTCCTGACCCTATGAATACTAGGAAGAAAGTTAATGACTATCAGGATAATGCATTGCTGGTAGTGACCTAGCTATAAAGCTTCTCTTTAAAAAGTACATGAAAATAATGTCTCATTAGGACCAGGGAAAGCAGTATAGTGCTGTGGAAAATGTACTAGATGGACGAGCACAGGCCCTAGGCTTTATTGAACTTATCAAGCATGGAAAGTTCATCTATACTTTCATCTATAAAATATCTACATTGGTCTAAACACAGTTCAATAATAATTAGAAACTATAGTGAAGTTTACAAAAGTCAGCTACCCTTTTGGTTATAGAGTATTTTGCTCAAAGCCTCTAAAGCTCGTTTTAATCCTTTTTGTTCAAAAAACATTTGAATTGAGGTTACCTTGGCTTTTCCAAGGTAGACAGACTTCTATCATTTTTGACCCTGAAAAACAACTTTTGTTATGATTTAAGCCCAAACCTCTCTATTATGGAGATGAGCAGGGGAGCCTAGAGAGTGTGTGACAAGGCCCTGGCATGAGTTAGTGGCAAGGCTAGCTCTAGCCTAGGTCTCTTGACCAACACTGCAATGTCCTTTCCACCCAGAGAAAAGAGTTTCCAAATGGTCTCTTTTTTTTTTAAAGAGAGAATCTTTTTTTAAAAAAATATATTTTTTATTGATATTTTACAGAGAGGAAGGGAGAGAGATAGAGAGTTAGAAACATTGATGAGAGAGAAACATCGATCAGCTGCCTCCTGCATATCTCCTACTGGGGATGTGCGCGCAACCCAGGTACATGCCCTTGACCGGAATCGAACCTGGGACCTTTCAGTCCGCAGGCTGACGCTCTATCCACTGAGCCAAACCGGTTTCGGCCCAAATGGTCTCTAGTTTTAAAAGAAAACAACAACAACATGTTAGATGTGACTGGTCCCAAGTTCAGCAGAAAAGGAGTTTTAGACTAAGAATCATAGTTAAGAAAATAACTCATTTAAGCAAGAAATCTTTGGGGCTGCCAACTCCCTTCAAATAAAGGTGACATTATATAATAAATCAAAACTTTAAGTCACAACATGGCCTTAATTGTGTTTCTCCTTAAATTCAAGAAAAATAACCTCAGTGGTCTCATGGTATTCCCTTGTCTGTCTCCCCCAGTTTCCCACCCTCCTCTCTACCACCTCTCTCTCTGTCTTTGTCTTCTCTCTGCCCCTCTCCAGATCTTCTTCCTACCACTTACCAACTTTCAGATATCTGTTGTTACCCTCTACCTCAACCCATCAGAATACAAACCCCCACCAGAATACAAACCCCCACCAGAATACAAGCCCCCACCAGAATACAAGTCCCCACCAGATGTGGATTCTGGTCTGTTTTATTTACTGCTCCATTTACAATACCTGTAACAGTGACTGGCTGACACCCAGTAGATACTTAATAGGCATTTGTTAAATGAATGTATGAACTGGGCAATAACTGCTATTTGCCCAATGTTTCATTTAAGGCAGAAATTCATGCAAGCTTAAAAAATGGTAGAACAAATCTTTGCCTAATCAAGGCATGATGGCCCTGGGCAGCAGAATGGCAGCATTAACTTATGCCTCCTTGAGGCAATAGCACTAAAAAGAACTTGAACACTACCATACTACTTCCTAAGAAATAGACATTTCAAATTAAGGCACCCAAACCTCTTCCATCATGCCCTTCTTCCAGACTAAGAAACTATTCGACTCTCCACTGAATATGAAAAATAGGACTCAACAAAACACCTGCAGCAGACATAAGTATAAACACTTTCAAACAAATGAGGAGCATTTTTACCCTCTTGTAAAAACCTAAAAGCAGTAGAACCAGAAAATAAGTTTGACTTCTACTTCACAGAGCCTTTGCAAGCAAAATCTAAACTCCAATGGGAGCTCTAGTTTACATGGTCGCCTGATCAATGGGTCTAAATTAGTGGTTTTACTGAACTTTCCATGTAACAACAGAGACAAAAGGCATGCAGGTCTTCTTTTTTTTTTTTTTTTAATCAGTGTGCTTTCTTACCCCGTGTTCACATTTAAATGAAGTTTAAGAATGGTCTTTCTCTGGAGCAGCGGTTGCCAACTGGTGGTTCATGGACCACTGGTGGTCTGTGAGATCCAAAAGGTTGGCGACCGCTGCTCTGGAGAGTCCCTTGAAAGCTAGAGAAACTCTACCCAGTCTGAAA